AAGTATTACTGATCAATTTCGTTTCTTAATTATGTCATTGTCATTGTCAAAACTGCAGGATATTTAGTTTTTCAAAGACATTATTTTAAATAAATTTTAATTACAAGAATAAACAAATCGTTTATACAAGCTAAAGCCTCTTGTAGAAAAAAATATAGGAGAATTTAGCTTTCTAAATGATATTGCTTTAATAAAATCATTCTACTAAGTTTCTAGCTGGAGAATTTAAAACGATCTTATATCTTTGACACAGTAACAGGTGCCCGTCTCTGATAATTGTCATTATCCCGATAGGAGATGTGTAATTAATTAGTCTGTCCCAAAAATCTGGGCAACTAACATAGAATATACAAAAGATATACAAGATATATACACATCGCAGCTCCTCGATATTACAGCCACAGGTGAACTGATTGTTCCATCGATTTCAATAAATTAATCGATTTTAAATCGTCAGTTGTCACCAAGAAGTTATAGCCTAATAGATAAAGTCGCGGACACCTACGCAGGAGACCAGGGTTCGATTCTGGGCATGGGAGTAATTTTTTTTTTTCTTGTATTAATTTTTTCCTAATTTTTTTTTATTCGGAATAATATACATTTAATGCTATTATACCAAGAAAAAGTGAAATAAAATTTTTAGGTTAAAAAATAAGCCGATTATTCAATAAAATGATTCAACTGAATGATCACGGAAAGGTCACTGAAATGTATGTGCCATTCAGTCGACTGAATGATCACGGAAAGGTCACGGGAAAGGGTCTTTTCAGTGACCTTTCAGTGACCATTCAGTGGCCATTCAGCCACCATTCAGTCGACTGAATGGTGGATTTTCATCCTGTGAAGCTACTGCCATACATTGGAAGTACACCACCAAAGCGGGCACTCAGGCTGTCAGATAATTTGAAAAACAAAACATGTCTTCAGTAAAATAATACTGTCCAGTTATAGTTATGACACAGGGGCTTGTCACGAAATATTTATCTTCTTTTAATAAAGTTACCCCTACTATAAAAATACACAAGGGAGGAATCTAAAAATAGGAAATTCGCTACCACAAATTTTGACAGGACTTTCTATCTTGTTTCTGGGCGACTTTCGTTGCGGACCAAGTAGGAGTGAGTGGAGTATAGATTCAATTTTAATATTCTTCAGTCAAATTCTAATCAACGCGTACCGTTAGTCATATAACTAACCTCTTTTCTCGATATTTGGATCTGGCGACAGTTCTTTCCATATGAATTTCCGGCGTAAATTGAATGCAGGGCTCTGATTGGTTGCTTTCTGTAAATAACTCGTACACAAAGTAGCTCTTTAATTTAGTGCACCAAAACGGAGGGAAAATCAAACTGTCGTGATGGCATTGAACAATACAGGTGTGGTTTCATTTTACGTATTTTACTATATTTGGTTACATTTATCTATATAAACTTGTTAGATATCCTTCACTAAGCATGTCAATCCTTACAGTTTATATTTTGTGTACGAGTTATCTACAGAAAGCAACCAATCAGAGCGCTGCTTTCAATTGACGCATATGGAAAGAACTGTCGCGAGATCCAAATATCGAGAAAAGAGGTTAGTTATATGACTAACGGTACGCGTTGATTAGAATTTGACTGAAGAATATTAAAATTGAATCTATACTCCACTCACTCCTACTTGGTCCGCAACGAAAGTCGCCCAGAAACAAGATAGAAAGTCCTGTCAAAATTTGTGGTAGCGAATTTCCTATTTTTAGATTCCTCCCTTGTGTATTTTTATAGTAGGGGTAACTTTATTAAAAGAAGATAAATATTTCGTGACAAGCCCCTGTGGTTATGATGCATACTGTATGAATAAAGTTTTTAAAAGAAGTAAAGGATTTGTTATCCTTTCAAAATATATGTGTCATAGTGAGTTAGACAACAAATCATGACCAATGTTTCTACTTAAGATGGTGTTATTGTACATGTATGATGATTATACATGTTTAAAATGTTTTACATGAAAATTTACATGTTTTACATTCAGTATTACTGTACTTATATTGTGCAGTTATTTTTAGCTCTTCTGAGCCAAAGGCTCAAATAGCTTATGCTATGGCCATTTGTGCGGTGTGCGTTAACTTTTTAGAATATGGGCCATAACTCAAGAACCCTTTGGCCAATCTGTACCAAATTTGCCACAGGGTATCCTTGGCCAAAGGGCTACCATTTATACTAAAATAAGGGTTGGGACCCTAAAACAAGGGGAGATAATCAGGAAAACAAAATCAAAAGTACTAGTTGCTAAAAAATCTTCTTCTCCAGAACCGCCAGGCAGATTTTTACCAAACTTACATACAAGGATCAGGATATGTTGGAGATTAAAAATTGTTCAAGGCATGACCCTGGGGCAAAGGGCGTGGCCTCAAGGTCACTTTGAAGTTGACCTAAATTTACAATTAATGAAAATGTTCATATTTTGCTTACTAAATGGGCTAGGATTATCAAATCTTGTAAGTTGATGCATCTTAGGACTTCACATCATGTTAACTCAAAAGTAGGTCACGGTGACCTACTTTTTTAATTTTGCGGGCATTTGTTTTCAAATTGATTTGAAGGCATATTTTGAACACTTTAAGGCCTGTGATCATTAAACTTAGTCAGTTGATGCATCTTGGGTCCTTGAACAACGTCAACCTAAAAGTAGATCACCGTGACCTACTTTTTGAACTTTATGACCTAACCTTTTTAAAACATTTAATCCCATTAATTCAGGGACTGAAAGGGTTAAAATCATCAAATCTTGCACTTTGATGCATCTTGGGACCTTAAAACATATTTAAGAAAAAGAAGTTCACTATGACCTACTTTTAGAATTTTGCAGGCAAATGTTTTCAAATTGTTTAAAAGGCATTTTTTGATTATCTTCAGACCTACAATCATCAAACTTGGTCAGGAGATGCATCTTGGGACTCTGAAAAATGTCGACCAAAATGTATGTCACATTGACCTACTTTTGACATTTTATGGCTTTATTTAGGTATTTTAGGTATTTATTGCCTTAGAATCATCAAAACTTTGTGAGTTGAAGCATCTTGGGTTTTCGGAGAGTGACGACTAAAAATTAGGTCATGGTGACCTACTTTTGACATTTTATGGCTATATTTAAGTATCTCCGGTTCTTATTGGCTTAAAATCATCAAATTTTGTCAGTTGATGCATTTTGGGTTTTTGGAGAGTGACGACCAAAAATTAAGTCACGGTGACCTACTTTTGACATTTTATGGCTATATTTAAGTATCTTGGGTATTTATTGGCTTAGAATCATCAAACTTTGTGACTTGATGCATCTTGGGTTTTAGGAGAATGACGACCAAAAATTAGGTCATGGTGACCTACTTTTGACATTTTATGTTATATTTAAGTATTTTCCTGTACAAATTGGCTTAGAATCATCAAACTTGGTCAGTTGAAGCATGTTGGATTTTCGGAGAGTGATGACCAAAAAATAGGTCACAGTGACCTACTTTCGACATTTTATGGCTAGGTTTTGGGACCTTAAAACATATTTAAGAAAAAGAAGTTCACTATGACCTACTTTTAGAATTTTGCAAGCAAATGTTTTCAAATTGTTTAAATTGTTTAAAAGGCATTTTTTGATTATCTTCAGACCTACAATCATCAAACTTGGTCAGGAGATGCATCTTGGGACTCTGAAAAATGTCGACCAAAATGTATGTCACATTGACCTACTTTTGACATTTTATGGCTTTATTTAGGTATTTTAGGTATTTATTGCCTTAGAATCATCAAAAGTTTGTGAGTTGAAGCATCTTGGGTTTTCGGAGAGTGACGACTAAAAATTAGGTCATGGTGACCTACTTTTGACATTTTATGGCTATATTTAAGTATCCGGTTCTTATTGGCTTAAAATCATCAAATTTTGTCAGTTGATGCATTTTGGGTTTTTGGAGAGTGACGACCAAAAATTAGGTCACGGTGACCTACTTTTGACATTTTATGGCTATATTTAAGTATCTTGGGTATTTATTGGCTTAGAATCATCAAACTTTGTGACTTGTTGCATCTTGGGTTTTAGGAGAATGACGACCAAAAATTAGGTCATGGTGACCTACTTTTGACATTTTATGTTATATTTAAGTATTTTCCTGTACAAATTGGCTTAGAATCATCAAACTTGGTCAGTTGAAGCATGTTGGATTTTCGGAGAGTGATGACCAAAAAATAGGTCACAGTGACCTACTTTCGACATTTTATGGCTATGTTTAAGTATCATAGGTATTTATTGGCTTATAATCATCAAACTTTGTGAGTTGATGCATTATGGGTTTTCGGAGAGTTGTGACCAAAAATTAGGTCATGGTGACCTACTTTTGACATTTTATGGCTAAATTTAAGTATCTTGGGTACTTATTGGCTTAGAATCATCAAACTTTGTGAGATGATGTATCTTGGGTTTTCGGAGAGTGACAACCAAAAAAATAGGTCACAGTGACCTATTTTCGACATTTTATGGCTATATTTAAGTATTTTGGGTACTTATTAGCTTAGAATCATTAAACTTAGTCAGCAGATGCATCTTTGGACTCTGAAAAATGTCGACTAAAATGTAGGTCATGGTGACCTACTTTCAACATTTTATGGCTATATTTAAGTATCTTTGGTACTTATTGGCTTAATATCATCAAACTTTGTCAGTTGATGCATTTTAGGTTTTCGGAGAATGTCGACCAAAAATAGGTCACAGTGACCTACTTTCGACATTTTATGGCTTTATTTAGGTATCTTAGGTTTTTATTGGCTTAGAATAATCAATCTGTGTAAGTTGATGCATTTTGGGTTTTCCAAGAATGTAGACCAAGAAGTAGTCCTTATTGGCTAAGAATCATCAAACTTTGTCAGGTGGTGCAACTTTGGTCTTAGGATACTTAGGGTTAGAGGCCTCAAATACAAGTGATAGGTTGTACAATTTATCAGAAGAGCGATTCAAGGCCCTTGGGCCTCTTGTTTTTTTACAGATTTCCAAGATGTCTGAGATTGTTTCGGCAGGAAAGAGAGGAAGAGTGTGGGAGTGTTGCTTGTGCAACTTTAGAGGAGAGCGCCACTACCTGTTGCGACATATGTATTCGAAACATCTTACATTTGATGAGTGGCCGTACAGATGCCCTGTATGTGGATACAGCCATTACGATTACAACAACTTCAAGGAGCATCCTCAGTGGTATTCACTTAACTCAGCTTTGAAGGGATCTTCCTCTGTTCTACTTCCAACATCTGCTGACATCAGGGAGGAGAGCAAGGTCGTCTTCACCATGATTTGCCAGCTGACTCTTGGGGACTCTGACGCCCACTGGGAGCGGAAGCGTCGAGTCAACACCTTGGCACAGTTTCGACCACCAGCCCCTGTTGCTTTGCGCACCATCCTTCCTTCATCTTTCCCTCCCAGTGGAGCTCCAGCCACTAAGCCAGTCTGACTCCCACTGATGTACCTGCTCGTCTCCCTGGTGTGCCTGCAGCTGATGTACCTGCTGGTCCTGGTGTCCCTGCAGCTGATGTACCTGCTGGTCCTGGTGTCCCTGTAGCTGATGTACCTGCTGGTCCTGGTGTCCCTGTAGCTGATGTACCTGCTGGTCCTGGTGTCCCTGTAGCTGATGTACCTGCTGGTCCTGGTGTCCCTGTAGCTGATGTACCTGCTGGTCCTGGTGTCCCTGTAGCTGATGTACCTGCTGGTCTTCTTGATCTGCCCGTCACCTCTTCTGGTATACCTGTTGTGCCGAGCAAGGAGGACGTTGATATTCTTTCAGAGTTTCTGGTCTTCGAGGATACCAGCGAATTCGACACCAAGTAACCTCCTCGTACCCGTGACATAGGGACCAACACCTCCTCTTACAAAGATGAAGTCTCCAGGCTGAAGAAGATTTGTCGAGAGGCAGGAGCGAGCCCTCAGGAATAACACGTCTGTCATCGTTGATCTGCAGCGGCTGCTTAGGGAGAAGCTGGATGACCCTGCCTCTCGACAAATCCACTTGGTCCTGGAGAAGGTGAGAGGCCCCAGACTGTACGCAGAAGGAAGTCTCCTCCACCGCCAGCTGTGAAGTCCGTTGTCTACCAGCCAGCGCGCAAACGACCACGACCTAGAAGTCCTCGCGCCAGTAGCCATTCCTCTCATTTGCAGCATCTTTTCTCCCCTGACAGAAAGAAGACCAGATGATTTTAAATAGGTAATAACTCAGTAGGTAATATATCAGTAATGTAAAAGTTTTGTTAACTGAGAATTAAAGTAAATATTCCTATTTTTCTGTACATTATTTTTGGCAACATATATATTACAATAGATTAGTAAAAATGGCATTATTGTACATTCATTAGCATTCTTGAAATGGATTGATCAATCAGTTTTTGTTCACTTAATTGGAAGTATGAAATTTTATTATAAGCATGAAACATTTTACATGAATGCAGAGTAATTTGTACATCTATTCAGTAAATTTTAATTACATTGAAATGTTAACTCACTCTGTTTGTGTATCCCTGTTTCTTCTTGATAATTTGAGTCTATTGTGATCTGTAGTTCCTGAAATAATTATAATGTTGATTGTTGACATTTTGCTTGTTAAATTGCTGACATAAATATTTAAATTTTATGTACATGTATGTGTTTGATACATAAATTTGAGACTGTATGTCATTGGTTGTAAGAGTGCATATGGTGCATGTTGACATGAGAATTTTGTGATGGTTCATGATGTATTATATTACGAAAAAGAATCTTGATTTTATACATACAACTTGTATGATTGATAAGCTGTGGTATTGTATTTTCTATTGTAGTTGATTCCTCTTCTGTTATTACAGTGACTTGAAATTCCACGGTATTTGCTTGTTAATAATGTTGTTTTAATGTATTTGATAGTCCAAAGGGACTTGGACATTTTTTAAGGAGGGGCAAAATGTAAAAATAGGACTACGATGTTATTTTGTTGATACTTGTACTAGAATGTACTCGTATATAATTTTCGCTTTTGACATCGCCCCCGAAAGTTTGATTTGCGCTGTTTGTTTATGCATGCTTGTTTTATTGTTACGAGTATAAAAAATGTGTTAAATAATTTGTATACTGAGTAAAGATCACTATCAGTTATGTATAATTACCTGTAATCCACTATTTATACGTATTTTTGCTTTATTGTTAGGACCACATGTTGTTGATTCTTTAAGTAATGGCCGACTCCCAGAATGCAATGCGGTATTTGTTTACAAAGTTTAACGAGCGCTACTTTTCGATTATAATTTATTGCTAATTTATTGTTAATTCTTGTATAGACATTTAATGATACTAGAAGTAATTAGAGTTAAGAAATAAATGTTATTTCTATTTTTATTATTTTCTCGTAAGTGTGAGAATTTGATGTGGGAACTAGAGCATCCCGTTACGTTTTTTTTCATTGGTTGGTGTAATTTACACGACGCTTTTCATTGGTCGCGTTTCATGATGTCATTTTACTAGGTATATAACGACGAGTTGTAACAGACAACTAGGATCTTGACTGTTTTTGAGTTCTAGAAAGGTGTGTTATTTTAGCTTGTAAATTTTATTACATTTATTTCGGGAATAAGACTTTAGAATATTGGGATGGAGTTGGTCATGGTTTGTTATAAATAAGTAGGTTTATTTACAGCTATTTGCTGAGCTGTTTACCGTGATCTAACGGTCTGAAATTACTACAGTTAATTTACGGATATTTTATCCGTTGTAATTTCAATTACTGGTTCAATTTACCAGTCCCAATATAAGAACAAGTACAAAATACGTAGGTTTCAAGGATTTATTTAAATTTATTATTTTATTTGGAATTATTGTTTTATAGAAATAAAACTATGTGTTCAGAATAAACCGTTAATTTGTTAACTTTACAAGACTTGTCTTTATTTCATTTTGTCCTGAATTTGGAAGTAAAGAGAGAAAAGAATTAATTTTAACTTAATTGTCATACACCAGTGCGCTTATTCGGTGTCGTTACAGTAGCTTTGCGTTAGTGACGTAATTGAAGTTATAATCAATTGTGCACAAAAGAAACCACTCGAATCGTCGAAACTGTGTGCCAAAATTTATGACAAAAGCAAAAATGCGACCTACCTTGAATGATCACAAGGTAACAAATACATCGACAATAGCTGCAAATATTTTAATTCTTTCACCATTAGAAGCAATATTATACAGGAGGAGGGTGGTAAACTACCTGTTTGTCTTGCAAAAACTATAAATCTATAAGAGAAATAAATGGAAGTTGTACGGATGTTCCTTCTTCCTCTGCTTCCTCAATTGATTTTACCACCTTTAAATTCATCAACTCATTTTAATTTGTCAAAATCTGACAATTCTGTGATTTTCTTCTGAATGTCTGTTTGGTAAAAGCTTTTTCAAACGAAATCATTTTGAGACACCACATTACAATTATGTTATGGCTGTGAGACATTGCATATGTATGAAAACTTTAGTTGGTTAAAGCTTTTTAAAAAGAAATCATTTTGAAACACCAAATTACAATTCTATTATGGCTGTGAGACATTGCATATATATATGAAAACTTTGTTTGGTTAAAGCTTTTTTAAAAGAAATCATTTTGAGACACCAAATTACAATTCTGTTACGGCTTTGAGACCTTGCATATTTATGAAAACTTTGCTTGCTTAAAGCCATATATGGCGTACGTGCAATGAAAATTATTAGACTAAAATTATAAAAAACTTATTATTTGTATCATTACTTTATATAAAGATAGAACTTTTCCGTAAATTACAAAATCTAAGTCAATTGCGTTATAAAGATATCACAATTTAAATTTGATTCTTGGAATTTTCTCCGTATCGGAAGAAAATACAAAAGATTTAAATAACACAATACAGAGAAGATAAAATTGTATTTTTAGATGAGAAAAGATGTTGTCCGTGTTCAGAGTTATATGAAAAGCTTTAATTTGAATGTTTTAACTATATTTCTTTACTTAATTTTGTATTTTTCAAAAATATATTTTTTTATGATCAGTTACATGTACGCCATACATGGCTTTAAAGCTTTTGTTTATAACCATGTTTCGGCGCAGAAATTGTTTTCGAGTTTGAAAGGTAATTTGAGTTTTTCTGATACTGTTTTTTTTTTTTCGAAAACTGTGATCAGGGCTGACTTTTGAATTACCTTGACTGAAAATAAAGGTTGATTTCACCAAAGTGTTTCGAGGTTAAAAAAGGGTACGGAGTCTGAATATGTAGTATTAAAATTTCAAGATTCTCCAATTACCGGGTATAAGAAATATCTCAAAAACATGAGTGAATACTGTTTAACGTCCCTCTCCAGAGTATTTCACTGGTGTGGAGACGTCACCTCTGCCGGTGAAGGGCTGCAAATTAAGGCCTTTGCTCGGCACTTGCGGCCTTTGACCAGGGAGGGATCTTTATAGTGCCACACCTGCTGTGAAACGGGGCCTCGGTTTATACGGTCTCAACCGAAGGAAGTGTTAAAACAATGAAATACAGAATTAAATATGTAAAATGTGATACAAACCAAATGATTAAAAAATATCACTCATTAACTTTTAGAATTGAAAAAAGTCTTTTCTCAGAGCGAGGAATTGACACAAGTAACAAGCTTAAGGAATATAGTCTTTCATTTCAGATTGAGAATCAGGTGACTCTTAACTTTATTTCGGAATGATTGTTCCCTGACCCTCATATTTGACATAATAGGTATCTTGGTAAACCCCACTGTTTACAAACTCCTCCTAAAGCTTCTTTCTCTCTTTCCATTTCTTTGGCTGTAGCAAAAATATTTGCTATACTTGCGGTTCGTTAAAATGGTCTTCAGTCAGATGTCTCGACATACTTGGCAATGATGAGCTTTGATCTTGGACGCTTGCACAAAAAGCAGAACGAACTGAGAAAACTATTAAAAGCTAATTTTGAAGAAAACTGTTGTCCCAAACAATCGGAGATAGAAAAAAAATTTATGAAAAAGCGGGGGGGGGGGGGGTTATCGACTTTCGTCCAAGGGACAATATCAAAAAGAAAGTTAATGGGATGTTGGTTAAAATCGTATATCCCGGGTCCTTTAAGTTTTTAGGTCATGGTCAGAATTAGCCTTTCTGTTTTGTTTTGTGCATAATTTCCCCTCTTAAATCAAGTAAATTTATATAACTGGGTATACAAGATAACTTTATATATATATATATATATATATATATATATATATATATATATATATATATATATATATATATATATATAAATTTGCAATATCCCTGAAATTGTACTAAACTTTTTTACTGTATTTCACAAATGCTCCTCTTCAAAATTGAAAGCGGGGATAGCCACCATCTCCAATGATATCTAGTTTGTATTGAAACTGTAACTACTTTTTTCATTCAGGTCATTCCCCTTGGATATGTTCATTTACATGCAACCATAGAGCATAATGATATCCAAATTGAAATAGTAAAAATCTGAATGAAGTAAAGAAATGTTTTGGTCTGTAAATCAGTTCACTATAAAAAACTGTCCCCATAATAGGAAATATTAGGTGGAAGTGGAACCGACGAAGTGAAAAGGAAAGTGGAAATGGTGCTCAGGAAACAAAAAAGAAGAGACCTTGAGAATTTGTGGGATTTCAAAACCATGGTTATTTTTTTAAATGTACAAGTATCTTAAATATCAATGTAATCGCACCTTATTCTTAACATAAATAATGTCCAATTTTGTATAAGGCGTGGTTTATTCTATAATATGAGGCATAATTAGCAACAAAAATTCTTAATTTCTATTTTCGTATACTTTCTTAGATAATGTTAAGGATAAAGACAAAGATGAACGAAACACCATGACGTCAGTAAAAAATGGAGGAAGAACTACATAAAGTATAAAAGGACCAGGACAAAGTCCTTATACTACTAAGAGAAACACTGGACAGCAGTCGGAATTTCATCAAGTTCCTGGATGATAGAAACATCAGAACTGTAACGAGCAAATATCCAGCATTGAATAAGGCAATTTTTGTA